TCCTCGACCCCCAAATGGAACCTCTAGTACTTCCGCCCACCGTCTTCTCCGCCCTAGCACTTTCTCTCCTCCTTCTCTTCCTCACTCCGGCCGCCGCCTGGCGTCCATGGCCTCGCCTCGTCGAGTCCAACGCCTCCATTGACCCGCTCGTCGGCGACTCCAAAAAGTTCGAGGGATCGTCGGAGTTCGTCCACTTGAAGTACCACATGGGCCCTGTTCTCACCACTAATATATCGGTCCACATTATCTGGTACGGCTCGTGGCAGCGGAATCAGAAGAAGATCATCCGTGAGTTCATCAACTCAATCTCCGCCGGCGGTTCCAAATCACCGTCCGTCTCCGGCTGGTGGAAAACCGTTCAGCTCTACACGGACCAGACCGGTAACAACATTTCCAGCACGGTCCGGCTCGGCGAAGAGAAGAACGACCGGTTTTACTCGCACGGAAAATCGCTGACTCGGTTGTCGATTCAGTCGGTGATTAAAAGCGCGGTGACGGCGAAATCCCGACCGTTGCCGGTTAATGCTCGGAACGGACTGTACCTTTTACTGACCGCCGATGATGTTTATGTAGAGAATTTCTGTGGGCAGGTGTGTGGGTTTCATTACTTCACGTTCCCTTCGATTGTAGGGTATACGCTGCCGTACGCTTGGGTTGGGAACTCGGAGAAGCTTTGTCCGGGCATTTGTGCTTATCCGTTCGCGGTGCCGAGTTACATGCCAGGGGTGAAGGCCATGAAATCGCCAAACGGCGATGTTGGAGTGGACGGAATGATCAGTGTGATAGCTCATGAAGTGGCGGAGTTGGCGTCGAACCCGCTGGTGAACGCGTGGTACGCTGGGCCGGACCCGATTGCGCCGGTGGAGATCGCCGATCTCTGTGAAGGGATTTACGGAACCGGAGGAGGTGGGTCCTACACGGGGCAGTTGATGGACGGACACGATGGGGCCACGTACAACATGAATGGGATCAGACGTAGGTATTTGGTCCAGTGGGTTTGGAATCATGTGGTAAATTACTGTACTGGCCCTAATGCACTGGACCAGTAGTAGAGGAATATATCTCTTGTTATTCCTTTTTTTTTTTTTTTTTGAATTTTTAAATTTCTGTGTTTTTAATTTGGGAGGAGGGAGCTATATTTTTGGAGTGGGCTTTTGGGCCTTTGTGAGGGCTGGCGGTTAATTAGTATCTTACTACTTAAACGCTTGGTTAATCACGTGTTAATAAAAAGATTTCCCTATACTAATTTTCTATTCTTCCACCACGCGCCGGAATTCGAACGTGTACTACACGCTCCTCGTACGGACCATTCCATGCTTAGATATTATTTTGTTTTGTTCATTTAATTTTAAATAGTTTATTTTGGTGTCATTATAAATCCTTGGATGCGAGTTTATTATTATACTAATAAATTGAATAAGTAGATATGATGATAAAATTATGATTAAAAATGATAAAAACATATCATCAAAATAAATATTTAGTACATGATTTTATATTCAAATTGAATTAAACGTTATATTATTAAAAAAAAAAAAAAACTGTGGATAGATGAAAAATGTTGGTACGTAGATAAGGAGGAAGTATATTAAAAATTAAAGAAGAAAATAGAAATGGAAATAAAAGCTTTATTGAGAGTAACGAAAAGGGTTATGGGAGAAAAAAAAAAGGTATATATAGGAGATGGGGAGAATATTTTAAAGAAATAATAATAAAAGTATGAAGAAAAATGTGAGATTTTGAATACCCAAAACCCATTAGAAAATATTATATATACGTTTTAGGTGTATATATAATAATTCATTTTGGAATTTTCAAAAAAAAAATATATATATATTTTCCAAATAAAAAATATATTTTTGGGTGTGAAATATAGACCTTAAACCTAAGACAAGGTAAGAAAGGGCAACTTCCTTTTGCTTCTTCACTACATATTTACCCTAAATATAATTTAAAATAAAAAAGAAAAAGAAAAAGAAAAAGAAAAAAAAAAAGTAAAATATCGGAGGGAAGGAGGGTGGGGTTAAAAGTAGGGAAAGAAGGCAGGGACTGAACATGTCGGTAAAAACACAAAAATTATTAAACTATTTTCTTTATATCAAATAAATAAATAAATAAATAAATCTTTTACTTTTGTACACATTTCAAAGTCATTGTGTTTGAATTATTTATTTTTGGGATTTGTGCATTATTTATTTATTTATTTATTTATTTATTTATAATTAAAAAGTAAATAAATAATAATAAGTTTGAAATTCTGAGAAGCAACCAAAGAAACACAAAACAAAAAACAAATTATAAATAAATAAATAAAAAAAGCTATTTCTTTCTTTTCTATTCAAACAATAAAAATAACTCTTAAATCTTTCAGTTATTTAAAACCAGTCTACACCCGAAGGGTCTGATAGACTAAACATGATATGATTCTATACGACTGTAAGAAGAAGTTTAAGGATGTATTAGAGAGAGTACTTATAGAGGACGAGACGTAAAGACAAAACGTAATTTGTCGTCCTGTCCTAGAGTGAGTCATTTTTGCCTCCAATTTTAACCTCAAATCCACCCTTTCCATTCAACAACTCTTCATCTCATTCTGAGGCCCTTTTATATTACCTAATAAATGGAATGGGAGCTACCAAACAAACAATAATCAGAGAAGGATCAAGAGGGCAACAACAACAAACCAAACAACACTGCTTTTCAGTGTCCTCAGCACCAAACAACCTTCTTTATCACTTCTTTTTGGGACAAAAAAGTGCTTTCAAAATTTCAGTTTCTGTGTATCAGTTTGCACACTTATTTACAGACCTCTCTGACCATTGTTACTGCTGCTTCCTTATTACTCTTGTTTTCTAAAGTTATTTCAAGATGGTGGCTGAAAGGAAAGGAAAGGAAAGGAAAGGAAAGGATGTACTGGTTTCTCTCTATTCAGAATTATACATGTTCTTACTGATTTTTCTACTTTTTTATATCAATTTAGATGGGGCCTCCTGCTTTTGTGACTTCCCCTCTCTGATTGTTTGGAAGAAGAAAGGAGATGAAAAATCAGAACACAAGGGAATGCCATATACACAAACAGAAGGATCTTCGAGCATCGAACATAATTAGTTAAAGCCCAGAGAAACTAATAAATTGATGGCAAGGTGTTTCTGAGGATCCAACAACAGCATCTCATTTACCTTTGAGCTAAAAGAAAATTCATCCTCGGTTTTTCACTCAAATGACATACTTAGTATAAACACAATCAATAGGCACTTGACACATTTCAGGTCACCATACCAAATGCAGAACATCAATCAAAAGATTAAATTATGATTTATCACCTTTAAGCTTCTCATTCTGAAGATACTTCGAAACTCCGTATGCAACAGTTCCAGCCACAAACAGCGAGACGGTTGGGGTAAAGGATGGATACAAATATTTGACGAAGAACTTATCCCACTTCTCTGGTAAGAAACCTGCAAAAGTGCACATCAACCAATTAATTGTGGTGGTAAAAGTGAAATGAAAATACCTAACTGTGGATATTGTATTCATCAAATCAATTAGGCATCAAATTTTCTAACTGAAAAAAGGCTGAAAAAGCAAAGAATATATTTCCCATATTAGAACCATTAAACAATTCGATGGTATAAAATAGAAAAAGTTCACAACATATTGTTCACATGAAACTATGAAAGGTGCTAGAAACACAGGCTCTGAACAACAGAACTTTTGATTGCCCAATCTAATCCAGCTACACTAGGTTACGGATTTCAAATGGAAGTTAATGCCAGGATGATATTAGCATCTTATTTTGATTGGAAACCCTTAAATTCAATGCATAACATTAGCTTAGTCATGAATTGTTATGAAATGTTGCCTTATATTAACACTCCAAATATGCGCAATGACACTGATAATGGTGATTGAACAACCGCCACTGCTATTCACAACACGAAATGGAGGGGGCATAGATCATAATATCATTCATTTCATAATTTCAATCCTTTTCAACAGAAACTGACAAAAATTCAACCCATCATCACAGTTCGTCTAATGTTAGGAATGTGGTTTCAAACTTCTAATCCACGACTCAAAGAAAAGTCCTATTCGGATCTGATTTTAACTACTATCACGTTTCAGATCAACAACTCAATCACAGGAAACCCCAACAAGAAAAAGAAAATCCCACCATCGCAAATGGAAACAGTACAATTCCGAAGTTCAAGTTCCAATTTACATAATTATGGAAAAGAATTCGTACCAGATGCCGCAAGCACAATCCCCTCGACGAGTATTACAGCACCAAGACCCAACCAAGTAAGAAGAAAATAGCTCTCATTCTTGCCCTGCTCCTTAATTGCTTCTTCATCTACTTCTCCAACAAACACCGGTTTCTCCACCGGTGAGCGCCGAATAATCGATGCCCTTTGCCGCTTACCCTTCTGCTTTCCCTTAGAGGTTGTAGCCTTTGGACTTGATTTGCTTGAAGTCGTCGATTGAGACGATAACGAGCCGAACCCTTGAGCAGACGAGGTCCCAACTGGAGCATCGTCGACAGTTTTCGAAATGGGCTTCTCCGATTCCGATGGGTTCTGCGATTTGATGATGAATTTTAGCTTAGAGGGGAAATGGAGAGGTATTTTGGGAAGATGATAGGGTTTCCTGGTGAAAGAAGAAGGAGAATGGTGGATTATTTGTAGCGCCATTTTCAGTTTATTTGGTTAAGGTTGTTTCAGATTAGAATTATGAAATCTATTTCTCTCCCGTAGAAAGTTCCGATAATTGCATTTTGACCCCTTCAAGTTCCTAAATTCCCCCCACGCCCCCAACTACAAAAGGAAGGGTTTGTTCCCATAACTTATTAAATATTTTTTAAAATTCACAAATTTATTAAATAATATTGTAATGTCAAAAAAACCCTATGAAAATATAAACGCATAATATAGAGACTAAAATTGTAATTAAATCATCCTCTCGAACAAAAAAATTGCTCATTTATGCCTAAAAATTTGAAGGGATCCAAACGTATTCATATCAGAATAATCCAGAAATGTTCACAATTTTTAATGGAAAAAACCAAATTTTCATTAAGTTAAACTCGAATGTTTCTAAAAAATGGAAGAAGAATAATTAAGGGGGAAAAAGGATGGCGAAAGGGCTTGCTTGTGGCTACACTACAAGTTTTCCACTGATATCCATTTCCTTGCAAAGACTGGTTATATCAGGAATAACTCCTCCATCACAATACCGTATGATCCCATCTCCCACAAGATCCTTTAGTAAATCAACTGGTTCTTTGGAGCCTCCATGTTGTAAGAACTTTGTTCTCAAGGCAGTTCCTGTGCTTCTTGAAAGAGGATCTTCCTGACAAAGCTTCTCCCATATGGTTGCGGCAAAACATTTGGCGTACAGGTAGCTGTAGTAACCTGTAAAAAGCATACCTGTGAATGTCTCGCACCAGAAAGAAACGAGGGAAAATTAAGTAAAAACGTTATAGTATATATAAACTGCTATTCGGGGTGTGGGTGAGGAGACAGGTGTTTTGGTTATTTTGAATTACAAACTATGCAAGTATTAGCATCTGCTTCATTGACTTGGAGATGGATTGGGGAGTCCCACATTGATTGGAGAAAAGAACGAGTACTAGAGAGGACGCTGTCCCGAAGATGGGTGGATTGTGAGATCTCACATCGGTTGGAGAGGAGAACAAAACATTTTTTATAAGGGTGTGGAAACCTCTCCCTAGCAGACAAGTTTTAAAAACCTTAAGAGAAAAATCCAAAAAAGATAATATCTGCTAGCGGTGGGCTTGAGCTATTACAAGATCAGTCACATAAGCTTAAAGATCTCATATCAAATTGAGAAGCAAAAATATATCACTCAAACACAAGAATAGATCAACTTTTGCAACCTGCACCATAAGTCAGGAGGTGAAAAAATCGGGTCTGCCAATGAGTGCCATCCACATGCTTCCAACTGGTACATTGTCTTTTTAGCTCAGCAACAACAGAACTAGTGTCTCTCTCTGAAGTTAATCTTTCACCAAACAGTGTTTGATCAATTAAAGCATAAAGAATCTGGAAATCAAAAAACCAAGTAAACATTGGTTGGTTGGATCAGATAAAATTATAAGATATACCAGTTAACAACACCATCACATGTCACCTGACGCTGCAGTTCAGTGGCTGCAAACATCTTTTTGGCACCCTGCATCGACTTTACAAGCTTTTCAGGAATTACTTCACCAGTTGAATAGTGCTTAGCAAATGTTCTCAAAACACGATAATCTGACGCGTAGTACCTAGTCATCCAATAGTGGTGACGGCTATTATTAAACAACAACAAACACAGCTGATATGGAAACAAGACTCTGAGAAAAGGGTTTTGTCAAGTTATACGTACAAGATTACATATTTATAAGAGAAGAATTATAAAAATTTGTTGATTTATTATCTCCTAATAAAAATTTAGACAAGGATATTTTGGACATTTTTTATCCCATATTTAATGTTCATATTTGATATAGATTAATGGACGTCTTTCTTATAAAGGCCGTAGTACAAACACTGCACAACTTAGCTAGAAGAATAATTTAAGCATAGACGTGGTTCAAAACCGTTGTATGATCTTCGTAAACCAAAAGGCAAGCAAATAAACTGCATTTTTACTCACTCAAATAGGTTTGAAGGTGTCTCTGCCAGATCAAGAACCACTCTTGTACCTGAAAAATGTTGATATTCCTGCAGTAGATGAGGATTGATGAATTATATATTTAAAAGTAACAAAAGGATCGTCTGTTCAAGAGTACAGAATCAGCACATACTGTTCTTGAAAGCAGGGAATGAAGGGCATGCCCAAACTCGTGGAAAAGAGTTTCAACTTCCGAATGATTGAGCCGCACATTTGATCGTTCACGTGATCCAGAAAAATTACAAACAAGAGCTACAACCTGCACATAACCAATACAAACTTCTGATTTGAGAGGTCACCAAATTAGTCTACTCCTTTACATTTCTAAAAAACTTTTCCTTAGGATCCTTCTCGAATGGATATATTATTAGCATTGAATAATCAACTTTTGGTTACAAGATGAAAGAGAATATGCAAGATCATCTACATAGCCTGACATTAGCAAACAAAAATCACGTGTACATTTTCAACCAAGGCATACCCCATCGTAATAATAAGAATATCAAACCCATCACCATGCAATCCATTCTCTATCTTAGCCTATAAGCATAAGTAGATTTTTCACATTCTTGATTACAACATGGTATATGATAGCTAAAAGAGGACTACGTATCTATCCAATTTTGCAAAAACAAGAATTGAAGCATCACAAAAATGTTTGATCAGATACAGTTACAGCCGAATAGCTGTAGTAGGAAGTATTATAGAAATCAAAGGTGCTAACACGTACAAAGTGCTATCTAATACTTACAGGAAGTTGGTATTCCATTTCTGAAACCTTGCAGCCTCCCTGAATTGCAAAATGAGCACAACCAGGATACTTTCCTTTTCTCGAGTACAAATCTAGGTATAAGTATCCCAAGTCACCCTGAAACAGAAATATGGTGGCACTATGAGTTTAGGGGAGTACTTATAATGTTTGGGGGGGGGGGCGGAACCGAGCACCATAACTCACACAATATATAAACGGAGCCCCCAAGGATTTGATTCAAGAGACACTTGGTCATGTACATCTTTTTAAGGTTTGATATAATAGTTTCTCATTCCAAGACTACAGACGTGTGGTTAAATCTTTGATCTCAACCATAACAATTTATACATGAATATATGAATAACAAAAGCTCATCACCCCAGTCTCCACTACGTATCAGGGGAACTAGTGTGTCAGAAAACTTATTAGTCAAAGGTTCAGTGCACAAACAGTCTAATTCAATTACAAGCTATAACTAATGAAGAAAAATCTGTAGTTAACTTATCTAGTATGTACCTCTTCAGGATGATGAAGAGACAATTTAAGCACGTCGGGATGCCATGATTCACCTGGTGCTAGGGGAATACTATTAAATGATGCGCCAAACAATGAGTTCACGAGAGTTTTCAAACCTTCAATACATTGTGATAAAGGAAAGTATGATGATATGACCTATAAAAAGAAAAGGGAACCATAAGAAAACTGAATACTAGCAGTTAGGAGAAAATGGATACCATGAGAGAAACGTAGTAGGCAAAAGGAAAAATTAAAAAAGAAAAGTGTAGAAGATTGCCACTTAACAATGTGAATACGGAACAACCTCGACACGTTTTTCATTTGAAAAAGAGAGAGAGAGAGAGAGAGAGAGAGAGAGAGAGAGAGAGAAATAAGAAAGAAATAGAAGATGTAACTTGCCGATGAATTGAGATTATACGCAGTAGATTTCATCATTGATGTATAGTAAGCCTCATCCCATGGTTCTAAATCTTCAAACTTATTAAAACGCTTCTTTAACTTGAATTCCTTGATTTGATTGAACTCCTGGTGGTGGTTAAAACTTCTCATTAAATCATGAAACCACAATTTCAACAAGTTATGACGAAACAGAAACAACTCTTCCATGCCTTGCAAACTGCAACATCTTGAAACAAAAATTGTAGTACCTCATCAGCACTGGGACGGACCAAATTGCTCAACTCTTGCAAAAATGACACTACTACAGCTGGAGATGAAGCCATGTTAGGCGTTACTGCAAATTCTGCATAAGATCTATACCCTAATATCTGCATAGCCAACATTAAGCAAAAGACTAAAACATTGTGGTAATTCACCGTAACATGATTATTTTTCCATATGTAGGAAACAATTTGTCAGAACCTTTTTCACAAATTGGAATAAACAGAAATTTCATCTCAAGGAATCTGGTAGATTTATAATACAATTCTGTTCTATTAATCGAATATGTTTCTAAATTTATTTTCTCAAAGTTCCACAGCAATTGTGTAGATGAAAAAAATATCAAGCGACTGGTATTGATTGAAATAGAAGAAGCTTATTTGGTTAACACATGACTGAGGAAGGTTAAGAAGGCTCAAAGCCAAGAGGAAATAATTGAGCTGAAAAGTCATCGTAAGAGAAGGCCGTACAAGTCTTTTCATATAAATTTTGTAAATTCAGGAGCTAGAGAGCTCGAGCTTTATTTTTGAGAGAAATAGACCTCTTGAAAGTCTGGGAGTGTTGTAAGCCCTTCCTCATTAATTTGATTCAAGTCTACTTTTATTCCCTAGCCCATTAGAAAATTGTACAAATCGTTGCCATGAACGATGAAATATAAATCTTCAGCAGGAAACAATTCTAAAATAAGACCTCAGATTAAGTGAGACGGAAGTTCACATGGCCTCATAAAAGAATGAATTTTTTTGCACCACAAGATTAGATTGACTCATTTCAAGGAGAGAATTTTTTTTAAGAACTCAGTATTAAACAAATGGCAACTTAAGGAAGAAATATTAGATAATTCATTATTCTTTACAAATTTCAGGAGAGTGAAAATAAAAATGAATAACCTGAGCTAGCTCATGACGAGTGGCAATAATCTTATCAAGAACATCGAGGTTAGCACAAGGACTTGAATTTCCCTTGACATAAGCCATTTTCCTAACCTGAGAATATATTCAAGTGCAAAGAAAAAAGTAATTGTTGATCAGAAAAAGGATCAAGACCAACGATGAAACATTTGGCCTTAGCAAACCATAATTTACGAAAAGTGTCATCATCTTATAAGATTTCCTTCCTCAGATATCTAAATCCATCTGACCTAAAAAAGATGCATCATAGAACTTTATCCTACAAGAATTTATGGAAGCCTCCACATCCTTTAAAATTATCCCAAGCCAATGAAAACACATCCTATCTATCATCATGCACAACAGAGTTATTCACCTCATCATCTGATGTATATTGCAGAATAGACGATAGGGAATCTGCATCAGTCATTAATCGAAATCCCTTTTCTTTCATGCTACTTATCGATCCAAATGATTTACTAGAACGATAGATGGGCTTAACAAGATGGTGCAAGTTGTTTGGCACACGCATTGGTGGAAATATATCCACAGAGCCTGGATCAATGACGATATTTTCTTTGTACCTGACCAAATGAAGCATATTCAACAAAATTAACAAACATGGAACATTTTTCTTTTTCTCTTCCTTCTTCCTATATGTAAGAAATACTGGTCTGGGTTGTCATGAAATACTTGCATATATCAGTATTAATATAGTGAGGTTTCTCAAATAGTGATAAAGAAGAGAATTCATCAAACACTTACAATCGCTCTGAATGTTAAGAGCATTATCAAAGTGACTCCGTTTACGTACAGTTTAGAGTGACAGAAAGTGACTCCGTTTTGTTTATTGATATGCAGAAAATATTATTGGAAGAAGCATGAAAATGATGTGAATAGCAAGCAAACACAATTAAGTGAATATTACATGCAACTTACTCCTGACAGAGCTGAGAAATTTCAATACTCAGCTGATTTACTCGATCCAATCTCTCTGCATAAGCATAATTAAGGTGATAATTTTTAAATGCAGAAGCATGAGTAGGAAGCAGCGGAGTGAATTATACACAAAAAGTACCAGCAGAAAGATGAATTCCAGCCCTTTCAAAGTCAACACGGAGGAAATGAGCAGCCATATGCGCTTCACGTGTAAGTAGATGAGCCTCACGCTCAGCTTTTTTAACAGCATTATACAAAGTATGATTTGTATTGAGAAACTATAAACAGAAAGATAACATGAATCAATTTTTGGACACAGTTTTCAAACAGCAAGAAAATTACCAATAACAATATCTTTTTGTTTAGAAACAAATACAAAGTTCTTTCCATATTTTTTTTCAATATAATTACACCTAAAAGTTCTCATCCTTTTTTGTTCAAATTAAAATGTTAAATACTTTTCAATTCAGTAGGATCATGTTACTTATGCTAAGTACTTTTCAGTTTCAGTAGGTTCAAGCTATTTATAAAATAACAGATGAAAATCAAGTAGAAAATTTAAAACTTGCTATCTCATAATAACTATCACAAAAGTTGAGCAGGTTCAAAGTGATGTTGAAGAGAGAGACAGAGATTATTAATAACTAATCAAGTATTAACTTATAAAATTTTCCATATTCTATTGAATTATGAGAGAGAACATTTATGGAGAAGCCTAAAAACTAGGTTGTTTGTTGAGTCTGTCAAGTCCCACTGTCCACAAGAGTTATTTTTCCTCCTTCACAAAGGTTTCCAAGTTACTACCTAAAGAAGGTTTATATAATAAAAGAGGCAATTCAGTTCTGCGAATACAGCACATTTTATCACTTAAGCAGATTATTATTTCTTAAGTTTTTTTATATATTTTAGCACTAGAGTCCAGAACTAGAGAAGAATAGACAATTCCGGAAAACATGTTTGCTTTTCACTGAAGGTAAAGTCAGACATGATGGTGACACTCAATTAGTTAGTAAATCAGTAATAATGACAACTCACAAAGAAAAAAAAAATCAAGATATGGTGTGCTGGGCTCCTCACATGAAAATATTCACTCATTCTCATGGCTGCCTTGTTTGCCTCCTCCACGAATTCCCTATTACATGAAAAAAAAAAAATTGAAGCCAAACAGACTGGCAAAGCAATATGAAAGACAGTAACTATAACAAAGGTGTCAAAAAAACATCAGAAAAGTACAAACCTGTCTGGATGAGTTTGCCTACAGAGTTCTGCAGAATCAAAAACAGAGCATACCTAATCAATAAATTCCACAATTAAACAAAGAACTTTTATATAGAAGTGGAAATATATTTGCTAGATAGTTCAAAATAAGAACTTAAAGTAAATCCTAAATTCTAAACCTACCCTGTTGGAAATTTCATCCATTGCTCGGATAACTTCTGCTGAAGAAGGCATGCTAGAAATGAAAGTAACAAGCTCGCCAGACCTAATCAGAGAAATTAGTTTTTAAAAGAAGAATGCAATTTTTTTTTCTTGCAGTTAGAATTAGATAAAGGTTTCAAGGCTCCTTGCTATCAATGAATTTAGAGATTTTTCGTAAAATATTGATGAGTTTTTTTTAGAGCATCCATGTATTCAAGTCAGCTGACATTCTAGAAAATGAATGAGTAATTGACATGTACCCTCGACCAACAAGTCAGCCGTTTGAATCCTTCCTCAAATATTGTTGAACTAAAAAAAATCGTAAGAACGATGTTCGAATTTCCAAATGATAGTGCATATAATACTAGACTAGATGATTTTTATTTCAAAATCCTTCGTATCTTGCACTTTTCTGCACTCTTGCAATTCAAAGAAAGAAACCCATAGATGAAAGCCCAGTTTCCGAACTGCCTTAATTTTAAAGAAGGCAAAGCACATAGCTTTTGATCTCGTTTATCAAAAAGGCCAATGTGTATTGCAAAAGATCCTCCTAGAATTAAGACAATAAGAACTGTTTCATTTTCTTACATACCATTACGCATTACCATTGGCCATAGCAATTATAGCATCAACCAAGCTTCTTTTTTTCTATGAGAACAAAGAGGTATTTAAGTTCAGCTCATAATCATTAACATGGAAACGAGGTGGAACGCCTCTAATTAGTCAGATACAAAATTAAGCTCAATTGTTTTTAGTGTTAAGCTAGCTGATGATAACGAGGAACAAAACAATTAAAATTGTAAGAAAAATCGTAGTAACTTAGTCCACACATTATCTTGTTCACCAAGCAACGCTGGCGGAATTAACGTTGTTATTGTATGCAATATCAGAATACTTTCAGTTTCTTCACATAGGCTTCCAAATTGAGTCTCGTCTCTCAAGCATTAAAGACATTCAACTTAGAGCAATGATCTCGTTACCTCTCAATGGCTTCATCGACGAAACGCCGGAAGCCTTTAGGCGACTTCAGCTGCTCAAAGCCATAGAGACCGGTAGCAGCACCTTCGTGCGGAGCCGAGGCAGCGGCGTGGATCGAACGGGAGCTAAGGCAATTCAAGTAGCATGATTTTAGAACGGCTCCCGAACTGACCTTCCGGGTGGTTTTTCTGATCAGGCTCAACATACCGCGGCGGCGGAGAGAAGGCGACGCAGTAGTGAACCTTGATTTTCCAGCTTCGGGGTCCGAGCGGTGGTGGGACGCGGGCGTTTGGGTTGGTCCACGAAGCTATTCAAGCCCCGGGATGAAATTAAAATATTCGAATTTTATTTAAATGTTTTAAGGCTAAATTATATTAAAAAAAAAAAAAAAAAAAACCTTCCATTTTCTTTTTTGCTTAAAAAACATTTTTATATTAAATAATAATAATTAGGATTAGTTAGTTTATGGTGTATGGGAATAATACGTATAGAATGTACGGAAATATTAAGATTAGAATAAGAAATATTATCCAAATTTTATATAATTTAATTTTAGATAATCAAAACTATTAAAATAAATTTAACTAATTAAATTTTTATTTATGTACTTTAAATTTTTGGTTTGTAATCAATTTTAATAATTTGGAAAATCAAATCAAATATTGTATATAAATTATATTAAATGAGATATACTTATTACCATTATAATAATTTATTAATAAAATAATAAAAATTTAAAAAATTAGGCATCGATCATTATTAATTATAGTTATATTATGAATCAATTAACTATACCTCAAAATTACGATAAATGAACAAATGAGTTCAGCAAAATTAGTTTCAATAAATAATTAATTGATTATAGACCATCACTAAGTAATTAATTATAATTACTGAAAATTAAATTTTTATAAGATAACTAATCATAATTAACTAGTTAATTATACTCAAATATGGTTAATTAATTAATCAATTACTAATTTTAGTAACAAGTACTTCATTTATTTGACTTTTTTTTTTTTTAGCAAAATAAATTAAATAAATTATTATTGACGCCAACATAAATTATAATTTTTTATTGAAGTGTTCATGTTTAATGGTAATAGTTCAGTCTATAGGTGCACAAATTTTGATAAGAGCGAAAGTTTTATTTTATATATTCTTCGAAGCAGGAAAGCTTACAAATTTGAACTCATGGTGAAGCATCAAAAGATATCTCCACACCGCCTCCTCCGATGCCCGCAATTAGACACTGGAAACCGCACGACTCCAGCTCTGAAATCACCATATCAACGATTGTTCCTGAAAGCGCTGTTTTTTTAATATAGTTAAGGAGAGAAAAATAGACTCATTGATTCCAGGACCTACTGTAAAATGTATACAAAAGAGAGTAAAATAAGAAAGGATACATGTTGGCAAGAGCGTCAGAACGCAGCCACCGCCTCCAGCTCCTGTCAATTTGGATGCTAACTTGTATTTCAATGTTGTCCTTTGAACCGTTTCTATTGAAGCATGGCTTACCCCCATGCTCTGGAGCAACCCTTGATTCATTTCCATCAGCTCTGCTATGTTCTCTTCCTTCTCGGATATGGATAGCTCACCAGAAACAGGGGACTCAATAATGCCTGATAACTCCTTGCTAATGGAATCAACGGCGTTGAATATGAAGTTCAACGCATCATGATGTCTTATCGTTCTTTCTGATACACTAGCAACTAAAGCCTTTGTGTTTCTTCCCTCTTTTGTGTTGGTTATAAGCATTCTCAATGGCAAGTTGGATTTCATGAGTGTTAAACTACCCGACTTGAATTTGATCGTGTTGCCTGATACAAGATTCTCTATTTAGGAAGAGATACGAATTTTCATGCATGATGAATTTTAACAAACATATATATGCCGTGAGATCCCATATTGGTTCAGGAGGAGAACGAAACATTGTTTGTAAGGATGTGGAAACCTGTTACTAGTGGATGCGTTTTAACAAACTTGAGAGAAAGCTCGAAAGGAAAAGCTCAAAGAAAACAATATCTATTAGCAATGGGTTTGGATTAGGATGTTACAAATGGCTATTACACGTGATGTCTAAACAAATTCAGAGTAAAATTTCTCTCTCGATCAGTCTAGAGTTCTCTTCATACGTTTTAGGCCTTGGCATCGTTAAGATAATTAGATCCAAATTGATTCAGTCTGACTGATGTTCCACTTTCATCTCAAGTACTAAATAATCATAAAATTCTAACAGACTAGCAGTATTTGATTGGTAAATTGATAACATACCATACGTGCTTACTGTGTTGTCAATTCCGGATGGCTTTCCATGAATTATCTTTTCTCCCTGAAAGGCCCATTTGTTCAACAAATCAAGTTCTTTTTCCCCAAAACTTGACCATCCTTGGTGCACCATGTCCACGACTACAGAATCAGACAAAGCAAGTAGTGCAGCTGAAAGCGCCACACAAAAAGCAGCCGATGATCCCAGGCCAGATCCAAGAGGAAGCTCAGATGTGACAACCACTGTAGCAGGCTTAAATCTGAAACATGTAGAATGAAAAATGGCTAAACAACACAGACAAAAGTTTCACAGAACACGAGTCAATTGTACCATACAAACCCTTGGATGCAGGAGTATAGCCAGAGGAATGCCGATACTCCAGATGCAAGGCCAATCTTTGCTTCAGGAATATTTTGTTCTTCAACAAGAGCACCAATTGATTTCAAGCACTCAGCTGGGCATGATGTTGGTGATGATGAAGAGATGGCGGTATTAAATCCAGCCACTGCTTCCTTAATTCTACCAACTGGCCAGGAAAACTCCAGTGCCATATCCTTCAGCTGAAGCTTTAGGGTATCATCATTGTCTAGTAACAAATGCATTTGATCTCATAAGAAATAAAATTAACCCAGAAATTTCAAGTGAACTAATTTGATTGACAAAGCAACAAGATATTAGGCAACGGGAAAATTCTACACCAAGCTACCAATGCATAACGCGCAATGACAAGAAAACTTCAGAGGAAAAATAAGGTGTGGATGTTTTCCTCAGTGTTTCCTATCTCATTAGAATATGAATAATCTCCTTGATTTTCTTTGTTATTATCAGCAATTTCAGAACTCCACATCAATGCAACGACAGATTAAACTACCGAGATTATCATAACGTAGAATTTAAATCTAATTACGAAGAGTAAATTATGATTGTTCCCGCCCTAATCTTGTCAAACACTTGCAATCAACAAATGGCATATGTATATTTTAAATTTGTATACCGGCAAATGTTCAACAAATTTTCTGTCCAACGGCATGTAGTAAAATCAATAACAAAATTAACCAAAAGAATTGTCGTGAAAGCATTAAGAGGATGTCAAGCAATCGGATCGTCACAGATATTCAACTCCTTCAGATCATACAATTCTTCCACAAAGTTAGAAGCCGCGGGAAAGAGAGAGCGAGACAATACCGGAATGACTGTGGAATGCAAGGGAAACGGAAGTATAGAGACTGATGGAAGCAGCGACGGCCATCGATCCATGTACGACGGCATGTTCACCGGAGAGTATGATTTTTCCGGGAGCTCTAGCCCGAACTTCCATAATGTTGTGACGATTAATCTGAACGCGAAACACCGCTTTCTTTCCCACCAATTTCTCAACTATAATGGAAAACGATCGGAATAGCGACAACAAAGCGGCGGAGATCCTCCATTTTCAGCTAGTGCGGTAGGCAATGACAACCATTGCCTAACGACAGTTGCAGCCCACGTCAGTCACGAGACTCTGCAGAGCCAAAAAGAAGAGGAAAAAGTGAAAAATAGTTAAAAATTATAAAATAATAAACCCTCTTTTCTATTTTCTTTAACCTTTAAATTTTAAAATTTTCTATTTTAATTCTTTTACCTATATTTTACCATAACCATTCTCTTTTCCCTTTATAAAATATCGTTATATTAACTATGTAAAAATGTGCAGTAAAAAAATGTGTCACTTGCCGTAATTAGTTGAGTTATGATCATTTTTACTTTCAATAATTTTTAATCAATTATATATATAATATGTCAGTGAAAGTATATTTTTAAATTTTGAGAAAATTATCGAATAATAAAAAAAATAAGTCAAAATTTACCTTGAAATTTTAATTTTATCAATGGCTTAGAATATTGCGATCTTAATCTTAATTAAAAAAATGTTACCATTTTTACGCGTTTGTTATTATTATTATTATTATTTTAAAAGATTTTTAATACTCATTTAATTCGATAAATTTGCCATTAGAGTTAAACATTTTTTAATTAAAATGTGTGAATTTTTGTAGTTATTAAATGATTAATATGTTAAAATTAATGATTGAATTAATTGAAGATTAAGAGTAAAAAATGGGAAATTCCCCTTTTGGAAAAGATCCTCGAGAAATGAAACAAACTCCATTTAATTTTGCTGCCATCTTCGTCGATGATCTATAAAATCTATCCATTTCATATAATATCTCAGGCCTTCTGAATCTGATCCGTCCCTTGAACGAGATCTCAACGTGGATCCCATCGTATGCATGTTTCATGGCATCCCTCTCAGGTTCATTTATGACAAACCTCCAAAGGAGACCTTGACAGCAGGCTGCATCTACGTGGGCCATGGGTTTCGAGCCCAACTCAACAACGCACGGTAGGTGTTCGACGAAATGTCTAATGTCAAAACATTGAATCCCATGAACGATCAGAATCGTATAAGCTAGAATACAGCTTCTGGAAGAAAGCGAGAGGATGTGGAGGCGAGTGGCTTCTGTTTCGCATTTGACGTTCGCCCAGAAGTCCATTGTCAATAAGGTAATTGCAGCCATTCTGATCTTTTCAAATGATTACGACCCAGCTGCTTTGTTCGATTTTTGTTCCACTAGCAATAGGCGGATGCTGCTAATTTGTTGATTGCTCTTTATGATTTGCGAGGCTATAGACGTTGTAACAACCGTATGACTTTCTTCCGGGAACTACTACTTTTTTATTGTTTTGATTTTTCAGTTTTGGGTTTTGATTAAAACGATGATGCATAGTCCGTACGTTGAAAATGGTTCTCTCATACGATCATACGCATTCTTCTTTCTTGTTAAGAGCTTTTGAAATCATTCTATCTCCGTCCTGGGGCTAACTGGGAAGCTTTTTTGTGACCTCTGGATGTTATAACCTCTCGTTCTTTCCTGTTCTTTCATGACATAAATTTCATTGGCTTATAGCTAAAGAAACCTCTCTACATGGAGTTGCAATTGACACCCAAAAAGGACTAGCTTATCTTGTCATGGTTACACTAGGATATCGAAAATCTTTCCTTTTATTCTGGGGGTGAAGCCTAGAAATTATTGACTTCTCTCGAGGTCATAACTACCTGTGGGCCCAAATATTTGACAATAAAGAAAGACAAGGATATGAGATGGATTTCTGCCATAACAGGAGAATGGATATTTATGTGAGGAGACTGGTTGAACAAATTATGGCAGGTCATGTTTGTGCAGGACTTGACATTGCATAGTTGAGAATGATCAGATTCATAAATGACTGGATTAGGATTGTTCATAGAGTAAAATGTTAATTTAGATGAAATAGGGAATTCTTAGAGAAGGTGTGGGCGGTGCACTAGAAATCATGTCAATAAGACTCGGCATGTTGCAGAAGCGAAATCTCTTGATATCATTTTCTTGAATTAAGGCCTGTCTGACTGGCTTGGATTCAAACAGGGCATTAGCAACCTTGAAACCTTTGTCATAAAAACCTTTGTTAAATTGTTTTGTATAGAAACTGTGTTTGTTTTTCCATTTCTTAAAATCATAACAAATTTCATCACTTTTATTGCTGATACCAATGCAGGATGTGTGTAAGTTCAAGTTTTGGGAAGCATTTAGCACTGAAATACCCAGAAAGGTAGTATACGCATTTTATATCTTCTTGTTGACTGAACCTTGTAGATGTTTCACTGCTCATGTATTTGAGTTTCTTTATGATTGTTCTAATTTCGTATCAACTCTAAAGCATAGACCATCAACTTCTGTATTTTTTATTTTCTGTATTCAAACCTATCAGTTACCTGAGTTCTTAGATGAGTAGACAAGCAAGGTACAATATGAGTTTTTCTTAGCCTCATTATTGTCTTTGGAATCTTTATATCATGCCCAAATGTCTCTCTTAACACTGTGGAGAACTGAAAATTAGTGCTCACACGTTGAAGCATCTGCTCCCATATGCAATATTCATATGCGCGCGTGTTGTTTATTTATGTCATTCTGTCTAATATATTTGGAGTGAATGTTCAGACTGTTTTTAATTTGAGTGCAGGAAAAAGGTACTTTTCAAAGAGATAAAACACCATTCATAACTTTTGTATTAGGTAATGTTCTCTGCCTTTTCTTTTCTTCTTTGGTGACAATGAAGAAATCCGTATTTATCTTTGTAGTCAATTATACATTGTTTATTCATAATTTAGAAGGTGACTATGAAGCCAAAGAAGAACATGAATTCATCTATTTTGAAGTTCTTTGCCTCAAAGGTTTATGGCTCAAAGTATCTAAAATTAAAAGGTTAATGGTTCTATTAGTGACATATGAGCCTTGCTAGTCGATTTCAAACATATTCAAACATACTGTAAATATTTTCTTATTATATTTGAAAAATTATCATATTCAAACATACTGTAAATATCAAATTCTCATACTCTTAATCCTGTCTATGTTGTATGATTAAAAAAAAAAAATGGGAATGTCAGGTGACTTGTATGTGAATGTAAATTAGTGTCATTAGTAATGCAACAACAATCCTTCCTGGTTTCATATGTTTTTTCACCTACTCTAGCTTGAGGTTGTATGGATTTCCTTGAACTTATGATTCTAGCAAGGAAAAGTAAAAAAAAAAAAAAAGAAGTCTTCAATTTTCAATGATATGACATAGATGCTTATATAAAGCCTGCATATACTAAAAGTGGCGATGTTTTCAGGTGGTCCTGGAAGTGGTAAAGGTACACAATGTATGAAGATAGTTGAGAACTTTGGATTTACACATTTGAGTGCTGGAGATATATTAAGGAGGGAAATAGCTTCGAATAGTGCTGATGGGTAATTATGTCTCGTTTGCATCTATTGAAAAAACTTACAAATCCATCTAGCCTTTGATGATGTCTCTTGATTGTGAGTTTCTATTTTCAGTACCATGATTCTTGACACAATTAAGGAAGGAAAAATAGTTCCTTCAGAATTGACAGTGAAACTTATTCAAAAGGAAATGGAATCAAGTGACAATTATAAATTTCTCATTGATGGGTTCCCACGCAGTGAGGATAACAGGATTGCATTTGAACAAATTGTGAGTTTCTTCTGTACTCTTATTCCATTCAGTTCTTTCTTTATTTACTTCGGTGAAAAAAAATTCTTTTAAGAACTTTAAGAAACAAAATCAACACTGAGATCAACAAGGGAAAATGACAAACTGTTCAAATGTAGATCGGAGCAGAACCAGATATTGTACTCTTCTTTGACTGTCCAGAAGACGAAATGATGAAGCGTGTGCTCAATCGTAATCAGGTGGCTGACAAGTGTTCAATCTTTCCTGCTTCCAAATCGTCATCATCATAGTATATCTCAAAATGACAAATTTGCAGGGAAGAGTTGATGACAACATTGACACAATCAAGAAAAGGCTGAAAGTTTTTTCGGCATTGAATCTCCCTGTAGTCAAATATTATCTGGAGAGGGGAAAGCTTTACAAGGTATGTTATTGGTTGATTTTTCAACTCAAATCCTTCTATTGTTGGTGCCTTGCTTCTATTGAATAGATGCTCATCACTTGCTAGACCACGTGTGAGATCCCACATCGGTTAGGAAGGAGAACGAAACACCATTTATAAGGGTGTGGAAACCTCTCCTTAGCTGATGCATTTTAAAGTCTTGAGGGGAAGCCCGAAAGGGAAAGCCCAAAGAAGACAATATTTGTTAGCGGTGGGCTTGGGCCGTTACACCACGTTTCTAAATTCTTGTTTCTTTCTATGTAAACTTGGTTTTTTGACCCAAAAAATGTTGCAGATAAATGCAGTTGGAACGGTGGATGAAATATACAAACAAGTTTATCCACTTTTTGCACAATTTAATTTTGAGGTATTTGGTTTCTGTTTCCACCTTCAAGTCTTTCCTATACGATTGGTAAAAACTTTTTAAACTTGAATCTTAGCGTATGCCGTTTTCTCCCATCATTCATGCTTTCAGTTCTGATATCGACTCAGTGCTGTAGTCCATTGCTGATCATTGTTTAATCATTTTTGTTCAGCAGCAGGTATGAGCAAGGAAGTGTTGGGCAATCTTCTCATGGATAACAAACATGGAGCACGGAAAGACCCTGGTTCGTGCTACATGCTCGACTGCTCGGAGCGACTCTTCATTTGAGTAGAAGAGCATTGTGAGTTCATTACCCTGATTACTGGTTTTTTCAAGAGTGTAATATAAGTGAACGGCAAGTACAGCCCAGGGAATTTCTTATAGGTCCATAGAAACAAAAACCTGTTGGCTACATATTATGTTCCCCAACTTAAGCACGCAGAACTTATAAATATGTTTAGGAATATGCACATCTATGGTTGATATTGATGTTCACATTCCAAAATTGATAAAAATGTTGATATGAAAATGAATGGTATTGCTGGCAAATAGTATAATAAGCTTTGGGGGTGACATGGTTGGTTCCGTTGGTTTGTTATCTCCTTTAATTTAGACCTTAAACTTTATCCAACATGGATATCTAGGCCCCGAAAGGGGGTGGATTGTGATGTCCTACATTGGTTAGGGAGGAGAATAAAACACGATGTGGAAACCATAGCAGACATGTTTTAAAGCCTTGAGGGGAAGCCAAAAAGAGTTAAAAGCAGATGTGTTTTAAAGCCTTAGGGAAAATTGTAAAAGAAAACAATATTTGTTTAAATAATAATAATAATAAAAAAGATAATATAATCTATATTTTCAATAAGCAAATTTCTTTTTTAAGCTTGTGATTCAGTATTATATTTATATATTGTATTTCTTCAAAAAAAAAAATTAAATTATTGTTGTAATGAAATTAAATTATTTAGGAAGTGTAAAAATAAAGTTATTAAATTATTTTGTTTTTGGATGTGAAACAAGGCGCATAAAATTAGGATAGCAGTGTTTGAAACCGCCATTTTCGGTGCGATTCTCATTGCCAGATGCTGATCTCTTTGCGATTCTCAATTTCACCCATTACTTCGCTTCGTCTCTTATGTTCTTCCGGACCCAAGAAATCCAAGAAAGAAAGAAGGAAACTTCTTCAGGAAAAACTGATTCGCATAAGCAAAGCCAAAGAGGCCACTCGTCTCCCTTTCCCTAAATCCTCATCAACCCCACTCTTAATCCACCACAAACCCTTCTCCCAATCCAAGATTCAAGCCCTTGATGCTGTTCTCAATGACCTTGAAGCTTCCCTCCACAATGGCGTCCCAATCGATGCTGAAATTTTCTCTTCCCTTTTGGAAACTTGTTACCAATTGCGAGCCCTTGATCATGGTATTCGGATTCATCGCCTAATACCCACCAATTTTTTACGAAGAAATGTGGGTGTTTCTTCTAAGCTTCTTCGTCTGTATGCTTCTTTTGGGTACATGGAGGATGCACACCAGGTGTTCGATGAAATGTGTCAACGAAATCTCTCTGCATTTTCTTGGAATTCTCTTATTTCTGGCTATGCTGAACTTGGTCTTTATGAAGATGCTCTGGCTCTCTACTTCCAAATGGAGGAAGAGGGTGTTGAGCCTGACCATTTCACTTTTCCTCGTGTACTCAAGGCCTGTGGCGGCATTGGGTCGATTCGAGTCGGCGAGGCAGTGCACCGGCATATCGTTCGTTCGGGATTTGCTGGCGACATCTTTGTCCTCAATGCTCTAGTTGACATGTATGCCAAATGTGGTGACATTATGAGGGCTAGGAAAGTTTTTGATCAGATTGTTTCCAAGGATACAGTTTCCTGGAACTCAATGCTCACTGGCTACACACGCCATGGGCTGCTATTGGAGGCATTGAACACCTTTGATCAAATGATTCAAGAAGGTTACGAGCCAGATTCGGTTGCTTTATCCACCATGATCTCTAACATCTCGTCGTCGAAATTCAAGTTACACATCCACGGATGGGCAATTCGACACGGAATCGAATGGAATTTGTCGATTGCCAACTCTTTGATTGCCATGTATGCCAACTCTGGTAAGATCAACAGAGCAAGATGGCTGTTCGAGCAGATGCCTGAACGAGATATAGTGTCATGGAACACCATAATCTCTGCTCATTCCAACACCTCAAAAGCATTGACATATTTTGAGGTGATGGAGAGCCTTGGTGTTTTGCCAGACAGTGTAACATTTGTGTCATTACTGTCAACTTGTGCTCATCTGAGCTTAGTGAAGGAAGGGGGAAAGTTATATACTGAGATGAAAGGGAAATATGGAATAAGACCAACCATAGAACATTATGCTTGTATGGTGAATCTTTATGGGAGGGCAGGGCTGATTGAAGAAGCTTATAGAATCATAACGAACGGGATGGAGGTCGAGGCAGGCCCGACCGTATGGGGTGCACTGTTGTATGCGTGCTATCTTCATGGCAATGTCGATATCGCCGAGGTTGCTGCTGAAAAGCTTTTTGAATCGGAGCCCGATAATGAGCTCAATTTCAAGCTTCTGATGAAGATTTATGGCAATGCTGGGAGAATTGAAGACGAGAAGAGGGTGAGATTAATGATGGCGGAACGAGGATTAGATTTGTAATGAAGATTGATAATTATAAATATTTTTATTTAGTGTATGAATTTCTTAGAAACCAAAATTTAATCCCAAATTTACTTTAGTTATCATTTATTATAATAAAGTAATAATTAGAACAACACAGCTTAAGAACGTTGACTGTAGGGTTAACGGCTGCCGACACCACAAAAGTAGGTTACTTTAAAAAAAAATAAAATAAAAAAAGAATGAAAGTCATGCATATTGAATATACGTTGTATATGGCTCGATCATGCTTGTTCAAAACGTATTGTCCGTAGCTACATGTCCGTTTCAAATCCCTTTAAATGGACTGTATGGGATGCAAATAAATGTCAATTCTTCTTACCTTGAGTTACATGCTATTTAACCCGTGATTTTATTATTATTATTATTATTATTTTACCCATATAACTTGTTTTCTTCTATTCTTTTAAATTAGTTTCAAATGTATTTCTTTACGCTTTTTTAAAATATTTCTCACAAACGTGATTCGAGGCTCAAGCATACGCCAACGTTGTCCGCAAAATCTGAATCTCTCATGACCAACTTGTTTATTGGGTTAGAACAAGTGTCGCACAATCGCTATCCGCTGCTGCCTCCACAAGAACGTGATTGCGACAAATTACACTTATCCCTAAAAAGTATCCATAGCATTGAAAGATGTTTCAAAGTTTTAAAAGTTAATTTGGTGTATATATATCTAAAATGTGTTAAATAATGTTTTAAAGAAAGTATGTAACTTTAATTAGGCGGTGTCGTGTTACACATTTTCTTGGCATTGCCCCACTGCTCAATTTGAGTCTTTGCTTCTACATTTTCAAACCTCCAACTAAATGGGGAAGTCAAATGCTTCTATTTCAATATTTAATTATATACTTTTTTTTCCAATGTACTAAAATTTATTTTTTTTTTCCATGCAAAAAAAGGGCTTAATATGGGGAATATTTCTTAAAGACATATTTTTATTTTTTTTAACAAAATTTTATACAGTTTTTTTTTTCAAGTTATTACGTAGAATTCAAATTTCTCAATAATATATAAAAATAAAATTAAAAGTTTAAAAAAAAAAAAAAAAAAAACAATGTGAAAGCCGACAAAAGATAAGGTGGTGGCCCTCAATTATTAAAAGAATTTGATTGGTACAGAAGATTCTACGTGGACTGAGTGGTCTGAGTAATGTCGGTAGCAAAAATTGGTCCTTACCCTATTTTCTTTTAAAATATTATTTATACTTTTGACTTATAAAAAAAAGAAATTAATAGGAAAATCACACTCTCATCTGCCCATTTACTTTACTTTGACTTTCTTCTCTCATCACCTTATTTATTTATTTCATTAACTTTTTAATTCAAATTTATTTTCATTTCATTTTCACTTCTTTAATTAATTATTGTACAATGTTTTACTGAGTTACGTCTTATATAAGTATACATATGATATACAAAAATTAAATTTTCGTTAGAAATAACGTTGAAATTAGCTCAACAAGTCAAAAGATCCCTTTTAATGATGTTTTATTTAGGCCTAAAACCATAAATTTTGACAATTTTGTTGCCGTGTGAATTGAAATAATGTCCTCATCTTATTTTATACCATTTGATCTTAAAACATCTTATTATAAGTTATCTTTCATTTTTTAAACGAATTTATTTATTTTTATAAATCTTGAACTGGCTTGATTATAGTTATACTAACTCAATCATTGATATCTTCTAGAAGCAATGATATGTATAATGCTCATGGTACATAAAAGCAGAGAATAATTGCTAGTTTTTTTTTTAATAAAAAAAATCAATAATTACTAATGTTGATGCATAGAAAAAAACAAGAAAAGCGACCGTTAACAAACTAAGCGGTGATGAAATATTTAAATGAATGAAGTAGGAATGTGACATTGTATCAAGTATAAAATTATTTAATTTTAAAATTAATATAATAAATAAATATTAAACGAGAGACATTATCTTTATTTATATTAAATTATTAAAAAATTAAAAGTATTTTTATAATACCAACAATACCCTTATAATTCATAATTATTATAAAATAAATTTAATAATTTAATAATTTATTAGAAATCTATCAAAAGAGAATTATTAGATAATACTTATAAAAGCTTTCCACTAAACTTTTCCTTTAACCAATAATAATAATAATAATAATAATAAATTTCGTGTGAACATAAAAAAAAATAATAATAATAAATAAAAATATATTTACACGGATTGCCCTTGGGTTAAAATTCCACTATAAAAGTCGGATCCCCCACTTCTCAGTCCACAAACAAATCGCCTCCTCTCTTCTTCTTCTTCTTCTTCCGCTCTCTGTTTCTGCAAATCCGCGAGGTTTCCCAATGGCGAAATCCGCCTTCCTTCTCCCACTCCTCTCTATCTCCGTCCTATTCGCCACCACCAGCGCTGCCGGCTACGGCGGAGCTTCCAATTTCATCAAATCGAGATGCAATTTCACAACATATCCTGACCTATGCGTTCAATCCCTCACAAATTTCGCCTCAAGAATCCAACAAAACCCTCGCCAATTAGTCCAAACAGCTCTAACGGTGAGCCTCTCTCACGCTCGATCCGCCCGATCCTTCGTCTGGAAACTGACGAAGTTCACCGGATTGAAGCCGCGAGAGTACGCGGCGTTGAGAGACTGTCTAGAGGAGGTCGGCGACACGGTGGAACGGCTGAGCAAATCGGTGGAAGAACTGAAGCTGGTTAGAAGATCGAAGAGGAAGGATTTCGAGTGGCACATTAGCAACGTGGAGACCTGGGTGAGTGCGGCGATGACGGACGGTAACACTTGCTCCGATGGATTTGCAGGGGCAGTGCTGAATGGAAGAATTAAATCATCGATTAGGCGTCGCATTGTGGATTTAACTCGATTCATAAGTAATGCCTTGGCTCTGATTAACAACTATGCTCAAAATCAAAGCTAGAGATGTAAGTCTGTTTCAAAATCTGAAAAATGTAATGTATATTATGAGAGTTTTGAGTGTTTTGAATTTGAGAATTGCAACCCTAAACGGTTTTATGCTCTTCTCTGTATCTGTATTTTCCTATTTTCGTTTAGTCTTTAAAATATATATATATATATATATTATTATTATTATTATTATTAGGACTACAAAATAAATAAAAGTGTGGTTAAATTATAATTCTGAATTCTTTTCACTTTTTTTTTAATAAATCACTTACCCAAAATTAAAATTTATTCGAATTACTTACCAAAGTTTTATCGTTAATTTTAATTTTTTTAAGACCACATCCACAAAATTTATATCTCTAATCTTTGTATCTACATCTTTTTTTATGGGTGTTTATATGATCTCATAGTCCAATTAATTCAGATCATTTAAAAGGTGGATGGGGTTCAGCTTGGTTTGCGAGTTGACTTTTTTTGTGGGTCAACCCGAACATAGGGTTACAACTCAACTTTACTTTTTAAAAATTAAGAATACTAACCTTTGTAACTGATATTGATATTAGTAATGCTTTGTAACTTGTAAATGTTTTAATATTTAAATTTAATGGGATTTTAGCTATTAACGTAACATGTACAACAGATAAGTAGAATTTTTTAATAATAAAAATATTACAACCCGATAACCCAACTTAAGTCAACTCGAAAATAAAGAATTAGGTTGGGTTATAAACTTTGGTCACTCGGGTCACTAATCCAACCAACTCACAATTTCAACCAGATTCATTACCATCTCAGTATCTTTCCTCTTGATAATCTCAAAATTGTAACGTGGCTTCATATCAATTTCACGTAATAAAGGTTTAGCTTTTACACTTTTGTTGTTTAACAAACTTTATACTATTGTTTTATTAAGAATATTTGCATTTTTTACTATATGTTCCCATTTTTATTATGCTTTTATATCTTTGTAAAGTCATATCAACATCAAATATGAATAAACACTTATTATATCATAGAAAAATGAACCAAATATGGATTAATATTTTAATGATATATATATATTATTTTTATTTTTATTTTCCCATGCACCATAACAGTATTTAATAGATAATAAAAGCGCAATTTGACAATTTGTTTCATACAATATTAGATTTTAAATTTTTTTATTTAAAGACAGTTATTGCTTTGGATTTTATCATTGAAAAATGAGAGGGAAAATTAAAACTCCAACGGAATGGGGGCCCTCCCCCTTCCTTGATTGAAGGAAATGGGCAAAATATATATATATATATATACACAAATTTATGTTTAAATTTGTATATATATATAAAATTTTTCGCTATCAAATCTTTTATTGAAAAGGATATGTTTCTATTCAAATATCTCGTAACCCTCGAGCTTTTCATCCACATGTGTCTTCATCCCCTCGTATTTTGACATCCAATGGCCGACAATAGTGCTCCCTTCTTCAAGCTTCGATGTTGGCAGCAAATTTTCAATACAAAGTTTCATGTTATTGTTCTTGCATTGTGAGTGTAACCCATGAGAATTTTGACCTCTTTTCAAGATACCCACTCTATTTTAGCGTAAGATTTGCAAGTTCGAATGTGTTCTAATCCAACTAGCACTGCATATCCACATATTTTAAGTTCATAAAAGTGATATACATAGAATTGGTGCGTATAAAATCGATGCATATCATGTACATCAATCACAATTGAGCTAAACCGTGTTTATATAGTACGTGATTTACATAAAAATGCACAAAAGAAACATATTTTATACTTTGAAATGACATTAAAACAAGTTTGATGCAGCTCAGTTGTTTGGATGTTTATGTTGTTTGAAAAGCTGAGGTGAGCTCAGGATTTGTATTTGAAGGTGTTGAGGAGGGACAAGGCATTACTGATATGTCTCACCACAACCGCAACACTCTTCTTCACCTCTTGCTTCACCTTCGACCTCACCTTCCGACCAGCGCCGCCGCTCAACCCATCGCTGCAAGTCATAGCGTCGGTCTCTGCAGCACTCATCCATGTTTTGATACTATGCAACTGTGTTCACAATATGAATACAAATATTAAATTTAACCCAATCTACCTTAACTTATTTAAAGGGTTTAATTAAAATTGATAATCAACCCACTTTCATTTATAAAAAATGTTAACTTATTTGATTAAATATATATTTTTTAGGTCTCTATGTTGATTCTATGTTGATTTTCGTATTTAAAGGTCAAACCATAAATGTGCGAAGATCATGTCTAAAGATATTTCAATTTTTTTGAGATGATTTTAGGTTTAAAATTTTTGTATCAAATGCATGATGTAGAATGACGTTTAAAATATGAATTTGAGATAAAATTTAAGAAAACATATAAATTTAAAGCTTTTGGGGTTATGTAGAAGTTTAAATAACCTGAAAGTTTGCATCTTTAGCACGACTCAAGCTTTTGATTGCGGCAATAGCTCTACGGAGCTCGTCGGTAGAGTCTTTAAGATTATCAACACAATCTCTAATGACCTTAGCTTCATAGGTAGATATCTTTTGGCGAGATAGTTTGGAGATTATAGAAGTGGCATCTCGTGTCGTCTTGAGAGAAGAAGTCATGGTCGCTCTGCAGAACTCTTGTTGTGTTCTTTTGGTTTGTGACGCATGTAAAGTGAGAGAGATCTCGCAAAGGCGTGGATACGGCGTCGTTTTGCAAGCCTTTATGATGTATGGTTTCACCGGACGGGTAATGGAAGAAGAAGAAGCCACGACGGAGGTGGTGATCGTAATTGAAACGAAAAAGAAAAGGGTTAGTAACGATTTTAGGATTTGAAATTCCATATCGATGTGGTAGATGATCATGAAATGATGGAGATTATTACTATATTTATAAAGATATTAACTTAGAAATTAAGACATGCAAAACAAAAACAAATACATTTAACGGTTTGTAAGTTTTAAGGTTGACTATTTTAAATTACTAAGCCTTTTAAAATAAATTTATTATTATTATTATTCTAAATTTCACAGCTTTCTAAAACTTTTATTATGCTTAAAGCCATAAATACAAATTGGGATTAATTAAATTATTATTTTAATCAAATGGGGTTGACCCAATTAAGAAAGGTAAAGCTGAAGGAATCTGAGACGTGCAGGTCTACGGGAGAGGCATGTGCCCGAGCCAAAAAGTCAAGATCAGGCACTTAAAAAGTCAAACAATCCAACGTATCACGCACATGTCACGTGCACTTTACAGCACGTGAAACTCGGCTGATCCCACGCTGTTGTACGTCAACTGTTGAGGTACGGCCCGTTCCGTTAATGGCCCACTTCAATCAAGGGCAGTTTGGTCAATATAACAAAATTTAAAATATTTGGAAGAAAAAGAAAATTAGATATTTTAAGAATGAATTAAAGGAAAATTAAATAATTAAAATGAAAATATAAAAAATTTATAGAGATATTTATAAATGGTGATATTGCTAGGGTTAGGGCTGAGGACGGCACATGGGGTTCGAATGAGATATATGAACCATTTAACTGCAAATTGCAACATATCATAAGCTTAAGTGCTTTTGTCCATCTAAGATAACGTAACGTGTCACACCAATATTCTAGACCCTTTTATTTTCAAATATGATATTAAATTTCAATCGATGTGTACATATTTTCGATATTTTCATGTCCATATGAGTTTAAGACTGATGACTGTGACGTGTTGTAGAAATCAATAAGAGTAATATCGTATGCGATTTGCTTATGCACATGTTGAGTGAAATCTTGATATAAAGTAAGAGGATAAGCTTCACATCAAAGTAATGTCTTTTAGAATAGACGTGGCTCGAGGGTTAAGATACCTTAGAGCGGAGTAGTATTGATTTATGAATTGATTTGCTACAATCTTTAACCCATTTCTTTATTTTTGTTTATTTATTATTATTATTATTATTATTTTGTTAATTGTTAAAAGAATCTTTCTAAATCTATTTTAATTTAAAATTTTAGCTAAAGTTGGAGAAGAACCAAACGGCGTCGTTCTGGGGGCCCACTTTCAAAATAATTTCATACAATATGGTCCATTTTTGGGCCCAAATTCATGTGATCAAGTCGCAAACATTGATGGCCCCACCAAAAAAAGATCTCCTCTTTTTTTTTTTTTTTTTTTGAAAAGAAATAATAATAGTAGCTTGTAAATCCTTATAATAATACATGGGTAGCGCCCGAGAAGCGGCTGGTCCAACTTTTTGAGCCGCCAAGATATTGAACAACGAATATTTGATGGAATTCTATGCACAAAAAGCCCCTACCTCTCTACTAAATCAACGTCTTTCCGAAAAAATAACTCTTCCCACCATAGAGTTGCCAAGGGCAAAAAAGAATTTGTTACAGGGATTGACTCAAATTTATGAGAGACTGATTTTTTTTTTTTTTTTACCAACTCAAAATTTCAAGTTGATTTAATTAGAGATCTGAATGACTCAAATAAAGTTCATACTTCATCAGATTGAGTTGGGTTGGATCAATAAGTTGTTCATATTTTAATTATTAAAAAATCATATTTATCCGCACCACTTTAATAACTAAAATGTCATCGAAATCTAGCCTTAAACATTCGTATCATTAATATGTGTTCATAATAGAGTAAGGTTAAAACGCTTTTCTTGGTATGAATGCAAGGGACCCATTACCTTTTCCATTGGCCTATTTAAATCAAAACCCATTCTTCACCATTACCAAGAGATAAACCAATCAAAAAGAAGGCAAAAAAAAGATGGGTTTCTCGATTTGCAAGCAAAGCTTGATTCTTTTGGTAGCAATCTTCCAATTAACACTAAACCCAATCTTCATCCATTCAGCCATCACTCCACAAAGCAGCAGCACTGAGTTCATCAAAACCTCCAGCCATCACTCCACAAAGCAGCAGCACTGAGTTCATCAAAACCTCCTGCAGCTCCACCACTTACCCTCGTCTCTGTTTCTCATCCCTCTCACTTCACGCCGCTTCCATTCAAACAAGCCCTCGCCTTTTGGCCACCGCCGCCCTCTCTGTCTCCATCTCCTCCGTCAAGTCCGCCACCACCCAAATTCTCAAGCTCTCACACGCTCACGGCCTCTCTCCCCGAGATGTCTCTGCTCTTAATGATTGTTTGGAAGAGCTCGGTGACTCTGTCGACTCCCTCATCAGCTCCATTTCTGAGATGCCAAAGCTTCGAGGCAATGATTTTGATGTCGTTATGAGCAATATCCAGACGTGGGTCAGCGCTGCCCTCACCGATGAGACCACTTGTAGCGAGGGGTTTCAAGGGAAGGCGGTGAACAGCGGCGTTAAGGCGGTGGTGAGGTCGAAGATTGTGAACATTGCTCAGTTGACTAGTAATGCTCTTTCTTTGATCAACCGGATTGCTGAGCTGCATTAGATTGTTTGGAATGTGTACTAAATAATACTGTGTGGGATTTGAAAGATGTAAGGGCAAGTATGAAAATTAGTCCGAAGGAAGAGTTTTATGCCTAAATTTTTAATTCTCTGTTTGTACTTAATGAAGTGTTGTGATTAGTCTGGTGTATCTCTCCTCCTCCTCCTTTTTTCATTCATTCTAAACCCTAAACCTTAAAGGAAAGTTAAAAAGAAAAAATCCAAAAAAGACAATATTTATCATTACAAATGATATCAGAGTCAAACATCAGAAGATGTACCAGTAAAGAGGCTAAGCCCCAAAGGAGGGTGAACACAAGACAGTGTGCCAGCAAGAACGCTGAATCCCAAAGGGATTGGGAGGTCCCACATCGATTGGAGAAGGGAATGAGTGTCAGCAAAGATGCTGGACCCTGAAGGAGTGGATTGTGAGATCCCACATCAGTTGAGGAGAAGAACAAAACAATTTTATAATGGTGTGGAAACCTCTCCCTAGTAGACCCGTTTTAAAACTTTGAGAAAAATTTCGGAAGAAAAAAACTTTAAAACCTTGAGAAAGAGTTTGGAAGGAAAAACCTTGAGAAAGAGTTTGGAAGGAAAAACCTAAAGAGTACAATATTTGCTAACGGTGGACTTCAGCATCATTGTCCATCCAATAAATGGAGAATCAAATAGAGAGAAATTACAATTATGTACTACGAAACAAAATGTAGAAGTATAATCAACATTAAAAAAAAAAAAAAAAAAAAAAAAAAAAAAAAAAAAAAAAAAAAAAAAAA